GGCTTTAAAATAGAAGAAGCGTGAATTGGAAATGGAGGGAAATAAAATGGAGGAAAAATGAAAATTTGAAGAAGTGAACTTTTGTCTTGCACTTTGTCCCTCATTGGTGAGGGACAACCACATTTGTGTGCTTATATATAGAATCACTTCTTAAAGCTCTTAAAAGGAATTGAAGAGAATGAACCCTCGCGCCGTCGTCGTCGCTCGCTCGGCTCGGCTTTGGATTTGGATTTGGATTTGTCAAACGATCGATGAGATTATTTTTTGGACAAAATTTATTTAATTATTTAATAATTAATTAAATGCCAAGTCACTCCCTTCTCTCTTCTTTCTCTCTCTAGCTGCGATGAACAGTAGCGACACAACAGTTCACTGGCCATAACTCCAGTGTCCACCGTTGAAAATTCACAAAATTGGTGTCTAAATAAGCTCCTAATCTTTGCGCACAATCCCCAATTGATTTCATCTCCAAACTTGCAACCAATTGTTCCAGATCTACGAATTAATGTAGAGGTTACTGTAGCACGCAGGTTTTGTGTTTTGAGCGGCCATGGATGCCTTCGTCTCTCCCCAGCTCCATGCTGTGGGAGAGTCCAGTCAAAATCCAAAGGAAACAATTGTTAAACACAATCCAAAACAAACATATGCTGAAAGAATTGTTGGTCACAAATCTGACGCGTTGAAATTGAAAATTGAGTTATGTCCAGTTACTGTTATTCATGGAGAACCAACTGTTGAATTCACCATTGAAGAGGTTAACTCATTCACCATTGAAGAAAGACTGTATCAAGCAGTAATTCTAAAATTCTCGTATGGGAAACCAGATCTTCATGAGTTGCGACAAGCTATTCCAAAGCAATTTAACGTGAAAGGATATTGTAATGTTAGGCAACTAGAATATCGACATATCTTGGTAAAGTTTGATCTTTTTGATGATTTTGTCCAAGTTTTGTCGAGAACTACTAGTTATATTACAGCAAAAGGTGAAGAATTCTTTTATAGAACTTTCCCGTGGACGATAGGATTTAATCCTCGCGAAGAAACGTCAAGAGCAGTGGTATGGATTTCGTTACCAGATTTGCCTGCAAATTTCTTCGCAAAAAAGTCCTTATTATCCATAGCCTCAGGAGTGGGAAAGCCATTAGCAGTGGACAAAGCGACTCATGATAGAACGTGACCAAGTACGGCGAGAGTGAAGGTGCTACTTGAGCTGCTGGACAAACATCCTAAGCGAGTTAGGATAAATATTGTGGATACAATTTCTGGATGGTTAGTTGAACATTACCAGCAGATAATATATGATAATCTCCCTAAATTTTGTACATGTTGTAAACACCAAGGACATGATGTAAAATCATGCCGTTGGAAGATAGAGAAAAGTAATGAAGAAGCTGCACCAATTGTTGAAGTTGAAGGGTCGTGTAATCTTGACAAATTAGAAGGGGATGCTAGAGACTATCTTAATGCAAAAAGGGCTGAAAAAAATGGTAGATAATATAGCAAAGACGACTGTGGTCGAGCAGCAAGAGGTGCAAACTACAATGGAAAATTGAACCGGTAACTTGAACATTGAACGAGCAGTGAATGATAAGGGTCCAGCTTTGGCGATTAATCTTGTGGGGCAGGCCTATGATGAGCTACATGTTTCTACTGCTGCAACTCTTATTGATCGACCTGAAAGTTCAGATATGGAACACAAAAAGGCTAATGAGGATCGAGATGGTGCAGCGTTGCAACTTGGGAAGGATAAAAAGCATGCTGCTATTCAAGGTTCTGCTGGTAACGCCCTACATGTTACACAAGTAGCAGTTGTCCAGCACTCTACTAATTTATCTGATCGAGGAGTGCCCAGTACCTCTCATGGGAGGATAGAAAATAATGCAGGAGGTTTCAAAGCTCCTGTTGTAATTGATGATAGTTTGGAGTGGGCAAATGGTACAGAAGCAACGTTTGACGAAATGGACAATTCAGTTGGAGTTTTGCTACCCAATACTGGGGAATGGAAAAATGCTTCTGGTTTGACTCATACAGTTGATCGAGCATATATTGATCCAAATGGTAAAAGAGTAGGGCAACTGGAAGTATCTGCTGCACAAATATGTAAATTTCAAGGTGTGCAAAAGGAAAGAATTGGAGAAGGTAATGTACAACAATGTATAGTTGAGAAGGAGAAGATAACAGATATAAAGGAGAAACAACCTACTGAGGCACCTGGTGAACCAAGGAAATCTGATACAACTCCAAGCAAAGTAGCTACTAAGAGCAACAACTGGACAATGGTCAATACATCACCTAGCAAGAAGAAAGATGCTTTTCAAAATCAGATTGTACCATCACAAGTAATTGGAGTATCAAACTCTTTTGATGTTTTGGTCAATGAGGGTGAGCATGATATGAATAAGGCTATAAATAAGGAGCAACAGAGGGATGATGAGACACAATCAGTAGATGGAAAAACCAACTCTACATGGAATGTCCATGAGCAAGGTAAGAAGGAAGCTAGGAATATATTGCAACTGATGCAGGGCGACACAGGTTTAAATGATCGACTTGGGATTGCAACAGATAAAAATCACATTGTTGAGGCAAGTCAAGTACATGATGATCCTACAACAACAATGCACATTTCCAATACAGATCTAGCTAAAATGGTAGAGAATGCCCAAGCAGCTATGATGATGAACACAACTCCAAAAAATGGGCAACCACAACCTTTACGTAGTAACACGCAGCAGCAAAATTCCAAGAACATAGATGATCGTCTCACTATTTCGAAGGACGTTTTTCGTGTTGATAAGCAAAAGGCAGAGGCACACAGTTCAAATGCACCTACAATGCATTTTTCCAACCCTCAAGTAGAACAAATCATCAAAGATGCTCAGAATGAAATGATGAAAAATTCTACTATTGTGAAACAACCTGTGGTCACTTTGAACACCTCCGTATATGATATCTCTTCTCAATCTGCGGAGTCGTTTGGGGAATTAGAAGGTGAATCTAGGCAGTTTATGTTGTCAACGGGGAATAACAACGAGGTTATACAAACAAACGTGAGGCTTAAGGCTATTACATCCAAACTGTGGCAAGATCACGAGACGAAGATGAAGAGGAGGACTGGGGCGATGGTTTTGCAGGATACTCAGCTGAAGAATGTGACGAGGAGGTGGATCAGGAGAGTGCAGGTGAGGAGCTTGACTCTCTAGTTAAGTCAAAGTCTCATGGAAAAATTGCAGCAGTCCCCACGAGCAAATTAAACCTCCATGCTCTTGCATTTGTTCCCAGAATGTCTCCTAGTGCTGCAATTCAAAATGCCCCAGCTGGAATTTTGCCTCAACATGTAGCAACTTCTTCCAAGCAGCTTACTATAGGTGCTAAGAGTTGTTCCCCAAATACAAGTCCAAGTCAAGCTGCAACAGCAGGTAGAAGGCAGACTGTTAAAGTTGCACATCCTACAGCTGATCGGGCAAAAACTAGGCAGCAGCAACTGGTCATCACTAAACCAATTATTTCAGATGAGGAGAGAAAGCTTTTGGAAGCTATGGTAAGTTCCATACCTATAAATCCTATTACATCTAGCACAGGTCCTATAGGTAAGAATAACAACAAATTACAACACATTGGACAACAACAAAGTAAGGCAATGGTGGCAACTGGAGAATCTGCCTTGGTGTCACTAGATACGATTCAAAATGAACCACAACCTGTGAATTTAGGGAGAGAGTTTTTTGAACAAGGAGAAGAAGATGCAATGTTACAACAGTGTAGAGAAGATGCGGCAAGAAAAGGGGATTTATCACCAATGCATAGTGGAAAAATTTGCAAATCTCATACAAGGAAGAATAGTTGGGAAGACAAGGTTAGTGATTTTTTAAATGTTAGACGACCTCCAATGAGAGTTGCCAAACAAAAGAAGGCCGCCCCAACTACATCAACAAAGTCCAATCGTTCAAAAAAGAAATCATAAATTTTGAATACATCTTGAAGAATTG